TGAGGCCTGGTTTGGACAGGAACATCAGGACTGCTGATCCTAATTATACCTATACAAAAGAACAATTGATGCCAGGTATGAGTGGACAGCTACCAGGTAAAGATGCACTCTTGTGACCTTGTACTTTGCCTCTTCCTAGAAATGTAGACGAGTGCTTATATACCAGACATTTATTCAAGTAAGGCAACACAAAATTAATGTGAAAAATGTTTTCCTACATGTGTGTTATTTTTATAAAGTGAAGACATAAGGGAAGAGTGCTGGAGTCAAACAGATTTTCTAAAGCATTGTCTCACCTGTGGATGTTGTTGTTGTCATCTTGCTCTTGTGCCTCTAAATCACCATATCTGGTCCAATCTTCTCTTGTCAGGTTCAGACAGTAGTCTTCACTACTGCATCAGTCAGCAGCCACCTAACTGAGACATTAAAAGTTACACACTTGTCTCAAATAACAAAGTAAATAGTAGGTTGAATGCAGAATTCAGATTTTTCTCACCTAAGAGTCATCGTCGGTCTTCAAATCACCTAGTCTGGTCCAATCTTCTCTTGTGAGGTTTATGAAGAATTCCCCACTACTGTATCAGTCAGCAGCCACCTAACTATACAGACATTAAAAGTTACACACTTGTCTCAAATAAGACCAAATAGTTGTAGGTGAAATGCAGAAATTGGGATTTTTCTCACCAGATATTCCTCTTCGGTCCCGGTCTTCATATCTTCAGGCTGGTCCAATCTGTCTTGTCAGGTTCAGACAGTAGTCTTCACTCCAGTATAAGTCGGCAGCCACCTAACTATACAGACATTAAAAGTTACACACTTGTCTCAAATAAGACCAAACAGCTGTAGGTAAAATGCAGAATTGGGATTTTCTCACCTGATATTCCTCTTGAATCTTCAAATCATCTGGTCAGGTCCTATCTGTCTTGTCAGGTTCAGACAGAAGTCTTCAATATTGCATCTGTCAGCAGCCACCTAACTATACAGACATTAGAAGTTACACACTGTCTCAAACAACATGAAGTAAATAATAGGTTGAATGCAGAATTCAGATTCTTCTCACCTGATATTTCTCTTGGGTCTTCAAATCATCTGGTCTGGTCCAGTCTGTCTTGTCAGGTTCAGACAGAAGTCTTCAATACTGCATCTGTCAGCAGCCACCTAACTATACAGACATTAGAAGTTACACACTTGTCTCAAATAATACCAAGTAAATGGTAGGGAAAATGCAGAATTGGGATTCTTCTCACCTGATATTCCTCTCTGGTCTTCAAATCATCTGGTCTGGTCCACTCTGTCTTGTCAGGTTCAGACAGTTCTCACTACTGCATCAGCCTTCATCTAAACATACATACATTATAAGTTGGACACTTAGCTTGTCTCAAATTAAAAACTAGCAATGCACACACACACACACCTTAAATATCTTTACTTTAAAACAAACACATACCTCGACGAAAACTCTACATGATGACCATAAAAACGGGGATAGAAACAACAATAAAATAAACCAACCCCCTTCAACTGAAACTTTATGTGGAATACGAAAAAACTCGGCGCAAAATATTTTGAAAACAGGAATTGCTACCTTCAAGCATAGTCATCTGTAGTGTTTGCGCCAGAAATACTAGTACTTGGGCTTGGTCGTTACTATTTACTGAATATACTCTAAAAAGGAAACGAACAAGCTTTTAAATTATAAATGATACATTGCCAATGATAATGATTAACGAATTTCAAAGTATGGTCAACTCGATTTAACTAGTTTTCAACCGTTTTGTATCTTACTCATTTCGGCGCCTTGAAGCTTTGAGGCTCCCATCTTGTTTACGCAATTTTTTGGCGGGAAATAGAACTAATTATGTACACGGCCACATTCCAACAGGTGTTTTGAACCACGTGGAGATAAGGAGACAAAATGGTTTGGTCAATGCAGAATTTCTTTCGACAAATATAACCTCAAAACGCTGAACAACTGACTGAAAAGACATGCACATACATTTAATACTCTACAAGTGCACCACACATTGAAAATGTTGTTGAAAACGCGGCAACTTGATGGACTTTTCTAAGCCTATGTACAATTAGGAACGGTCGCTACCAAATACAGAAATAGTTTATTTCTTACGGAATATGTTGACATGTTCGCACTAGTTGCTAAGGAATAATGTCAGCCAACCAATGTACTGGTTTACCTGAAACAATGAGCGAAGTCGTCTCCATTAGTCCATACCACGCTACTCTTCCCAACTGCCTCGCCATTTTTGTCTTCTCCAAAATTCGCCAAGTCAGGAAATCCGCATTTTCTCCCCAAAACATCACCAGAACGGCACAAATCCAGACCGAAAACTCCCAAACATTCTGCTGCACACTTACTAAGACATTCTACCGACGAAAACGTCTAAAAGTACCCAGAAAGTTGTGAAAAAATCAGCACAGTGTATTCCTGTCGTACGAAAGCGCCATTTTGAACGTGGACCATACCAAACTTGTTTTTACACAGGTGTGCAGAACGGCCGTGCATAATTAATGTAAAGTTGATAATCTAATTATGACGACCAATGACGGCCCGTTTCGGTGCCAGGCACTTATATGTATCGAAGAAGGACGATTAGATTATCTAATTACGAAGGATACTAACGTTGATGTCAATCTTGGTAAAATTGAATGGATGAAAATGCAGCTACCGCAGTACCGGACACCTCTAAATTCGTATTTCTATTTTAACAAAATGAAATAAACGTTTTCAAGAATAAGCTGTTATGTTTGGCTTCACCCCGCAGTTAATGCCAACCGTTTTGGAATCATATTTAAAGAGCGTCTGAAAGACACGTTTCAGAAGGTTCATTTTTCAAAATTTTCCGGGGGAGCATACCCCCGGATCCCCCTAGGAACCTCGCGCCTACGGCGCTCGCTGGTCCCCTCAAGCAGTGGGAAGTCTTGCATCTGTTCATTTTGAGACCAAGACCAAGACCTTGTATTTAACCTCCTTGTTGAGACAAACATTCCTTGTACAGCTTTTTTTTTTTAATATATTTTTACCATTTCAGTGAAAGGTGTTCATGAAGCCAATAATCTATGAAAAATGTGTCATTTATACAAAACAAACTCTATATATGTTTATAATTTCTAAAAAGACAACGATGAACCAAACATGCAAACTTCTACCAGTAAACATTTTTTATTGAGGACTTAATGCACCAGCGATGGATTTTCCACATAGTTATACCAGTACTGCACACTTGTTTTCAACTGTGTACAACAAGGCCCATCCACGTAAAAACTGTGATGAACCTTAATGATAGAAATTACGCCTGAGTAACCCTAAGCAATCTACATTTGTGTTCTCAGTTATTAGCCTGGTGCCATGCGATTGGTAATGGCAACCCCGAAAAAATTGCCATTACAAATCGGACGGAACCCAGGCTACACAGTTATACTAAAGCAAACATTTTTTTCAAGTAAAATAGCATCCTTTGAGAATCATATCATCGTGTTTGAGCCTCAATACATACTTTGAAATCCAAGCAACAAGATAAAAAGCAACAGCGTTCACTGTGTGCCATGGGATTTAAACCTTTCTAATTGGCCTCTTTCCCATATCGAAATGACAAGATTAATCAACAACACGATCCATGACTGTGGTGACGTTTTGTCGTCGTATCAAGTCTCATGATTAATTCTTCAAATATTGCAGACGACAAAATAAAGCAAATTTACAATTACATATCAAGACAAACGTTGCACACAACATGATTACTGAAGTTAACTTTCATATCCAACACGAGAAAACTGCGACTTGCCAAGACGGGGGGCGATACAGACTTCCATGCACATTTTGCCCATTAAGTGATGTCATGAGTCACGTGTCCATATAGGGTCACGTGAGTGAATTGTGACAGTAAACCTGAGGAAGACCGAAGGCATGTCGCAGTCCCCATGTGTTGAACCCAAAGTTTAAACTGTAATCAACTAGTTCAGGATTCTTTTTTATAAAAAATTCTAATAATAGTTCTAGTAGTTAAATCTCTATAACCAAAACCTACATTAATATATAAGACGTCTTTCTCACATTGTGTTGGTAAATTGACACAAAGCTTGAAAACTGACCAGCAGATTTACTGACATGGACACCATGTATTGTACGTTAATAAGTTTCTCTGTGTTTCCACTGCAAAGCCGCCGCCGTGATGACGTCACTAACATCTGAGGTAAACCACGGTACACGTGACGTCACCAGCAGACATCACCTGTGATCAAAGCAAGGAGAACGAACCATGAATGACTGAATGAAAGTCCTTCCAAGAAATGTACAGAAGACGTCCATCTTCCTAGTAAGTTGCTATTCCTACAGAACTTAATATTACAGCTCTCCGGGAATATAACCATCTTCAATGTTACGTTGACCCCCAGTGGCATAAAGAAATGCAGTTTAATAGTATTTACGTAGAAATAAGAAAGGCTAATCTAGAAGAAACAAGACGGAAAATTGGTGAAGAACTCAGAAATCCATGCATGAGAGTGAATATCACTACTACTGAATGGCAGACGACATAACAAAGTGGCTATTTGTACCAAAGGATAAGAAAAATCTTTTATCCAAAATGATGAAAAGATACTAGTGATCAGTGTGCAAACCCCCCTTGAGAACCACTGATTCAGGTAAAAATGACATTACCGTGCTGGTGGAATCCCCCTCCAGTGCCCTGGACATGGTGACCTTCAACCCCTTCCCGTCCCAGTCTGGATAGGTGGAGACCAGCTTATCCCCGTCCCAGGTGTACACACACTGTAAATAAAGTAAAGGTGAGTTTGTTTTTTTATCTGGGCCAGACACCCCCATTTTGAAATGGTATAATTATAACTCCGACTTTCAGACCAGTCCCTTACATTGGACGATCACACCGCGTGCTGCACGTGGGTGTCCACTAAGTTACTAGATTTTTTTTTCAACAACTGAAAATGCAGATGCTATGAAAGAAAACAATCCGCATCATCCGGACACCAATACCTCATAATATACTGAAAATCAAAGAAAAAAGAACAGACAAGACTGACCGACCTTTTTCTTCTTGCCGTCTCCCGTGTCCTCCTCTATCTCCTCGCCGATCCGGAAGACGTTCGTGACGGTTCCGTGTTTGGCGCCAAGATATTCCGGCGTCGTCGCCCAGGTGATTACCCCGCCCTCTTCCCGGCATTCAATGTAGAACACCGTCTCTGACGCGAACTGATGAAGCTCCTTGGGAACTCCTGAAGGGTACAGGTCAAAGGGTACAGGCACGTCGATCAATTATAGATCAATAAAGGGTTAATGCCCCGCCCCGAGGTGTATATTGTGAGATAATCCCTGGTCAGGTGCGGTAACCACCCAATAAACCAACGAGTGAGCGTAGCGTAATTATGGAATCATAATTATGTTAGGAAGGTCAAAATCAAGAAAACAATAGGAAAATTTCTTGTGAAATTAATTAACTTTTAACACATTAAGATTTTAACAAATTTAAAATCACCTTAAATTTACCCTTTAAATTTACCTTGTAAAATTTAGTGCTAAAAGTGTAATGTCTCCTTGTTCTTAACGACTGGCCAACTTCCCAAACCGTCCTACAATGCTTAATTCTTCTATTGGTAATCTCCAAGCACATCCTACGGTGGCAAGGCAGTATCCGATTTACAATCAATGTCCATTAGCTACCGATTGGATACTAAATTGCCACCGTAGGATCTGCTTGGATATTACGGCCCCATTCTCACAAGGAAAAATTGTCCTGTCCGGTTCGAGACGAATTGATCCGGTTTAGATCTTGCTTCGAGCCGGATCGAAGCCGGATCAAAGCGAATCAATTCGGCTCGATCCGGACAATGTTATTCTAGTGGCAATGGAAACTACGTTTCGTCTAACATTCCAGACAGCCTGATCATTATGCATCCGGGTAGACTTTCTGTGTGCAGACACATTCCGTTCCCGAGAATACTAATCTTCTGGTGTTATCTAATAACGACCAGCCTTGCCCTGTCGTAATGTCGTTTGATCTCCATGGAGACAGCCTTTAATGGGTTGCGCTGATTGGCTGCCGGACGATGACAGTTATTAGGCCATAGTAACGGTATCAGTAGTTTTTAGACGTGGGTTTACTAGTTTTGGAACACTGGATCACACAGAGATTTTAAAACCTTTTTTTTTGTGGAGAGAGGAACAACATTCATTCTTTGTCGGAAGGTACAAGTAAGGGCAAAGAAATAATTTTTTCGTATCATCATCTGTATTTAACTCCATGATATCATTTATGTTCAAAGTATTAAACAGCAAAATTATCAGTTTTGAAACAATGCTGTTTAGTTTACTTTAAAGATAATACTACTTAGTGTTATGTATGGCTTTTTTCTCCGAATACCTTGCAATACAAGACAATAGTTTACACAAAAAATCATGATATCGTGGTGACGTAATCAAAAACTACAGGAAAGTGACCCCCTCTTCACTAACGATCAAATGTACAAAGCTAATATTCGATGAAAGACACATGATAGTGAGTACCCCCTCTTTCTCAAACCAAACCTCTCTTTCCCTAGGACACAGCAATTAAATTTTATGGATGACATCCTCCGCAGACTCCAAATCTAATGCGAGCGGGCGAAAAAAAAAACAAGGCGATCCGAAAATTCCTATACTTTAAAATTTTGACTCAATCATTGTACAAATGGTTTTGATTTAGTAGGAACATCACATGTACACAGCCAACATCACATACCACTGCATCAAAGTAGGAAACAAAACTTAAATCAGAGCCTTTTCTTGTCTCCTCTCTATAGTTATCTGCCATCCACCTTTCGGCATGGCAACAGACATCTTTGCCCATTTTCGGCATGGTGACCACTGTCAGAAGGCAACAAAATTTCTTGTTTTTTTTTCCAAAATCAGGCGAAAATTAATGCGCGCGCTGATGTCATCCATAAAAATTACTTGCTGTGGCCTTACTCAAACGAACGGACGTCACACAGCACATTAACACACCCCAGCCTGGGACGTCATTCCACGGTAATACTAATCGCCTCTCCCCTTTCATGCCGTATTTCCCAGGGGACCTGTCGGTGAATACTCTAGCTGTTTTGCCGACAGAGGGATCCAATTTACCGTGTACCATTATATACACCACATCAACGGACACAAACCAACGGGCTTAGACATTACAGGCAGATAACGTAGGATCTCTGTAACTCGCAATTATAAAATGTATATTGCAAAAAATCGATATTTGAAATAAGATTTTAAAAACATTATAAATATAAACAATATACGTCTTTAATATATAATTGGACTTGGCTGGCTAAAATTTGTTACATGACATAATAATACAAGTGATATTTGCGTGTGAGAAAATGCCTTTTACGTAGCTACTTCAAAATTCTTGTTCTTTGACATCTGCATTACGTACCCTCCTAAGGTTCCATTCCTAAGGTTTGTCTGTATCTTACTGGGTATCGTTTTAAAATCGCAATAGTTGAAGCAACACCGCATAATAAAAAAATGGTTTCTCTGGTGATAACATCGCAGTTATGCATTATTATGACAAATGGCTTATGACATATTCAATTATTTGGAAAAAAAAGGCTCGACGTAGCACAGCGTATAGAAATATGACACAAAGCATTTCCCAGTCAACCTTTATTAATGATAATAATCAACATGATGGCATCTACCGACTAATGCGACTGAATCCATGTGATATATACCATTTCTAATGATATCCAACAGGCAAGCAAAGACGAATTCAAGCATCATGTATATTCTAAGAGTTTCTTGTTGGAATACTAAATATTTTACGCCACAGGTATTATGATTGTATTGGGATATAGCCATCCGCGTTTAGGGCGTATGTGCAAGCAAGATGCCAGAGCAAAAAGCTTTTACATCTGTATTAACCCCCCTTGGTGTCATCATAGCTTGTGCTGTGTTTTCTCTGAGGAAAAGACAATGGCGTCTTCCCACCATGTATCATTTTCCCGCGGTTGAAGAAGAGAACGCAACGTAACGTAACGGTGGCTTCACCTGTAAGATCTGCACAAACACTCCTAACAATGACAGGCACACAAAGATACAGTAGAGGGTGTGGTGGGGGGATCTGGATCTACTAGTATATGGTTACAGAACACACAGATACCCCTTCATGGAGACACCAAAAATGAACAAGCCCAAACGCAAGCCGTGTCATGTGTCGTAACAGGGGTTTATTTTCAAAATTTCCCTACCTTTTTTTCCAACGTTGCTATGATTACCGAACTGCTAATGTTGTTTGTCATAAAAAAATCAATACTTAAAAGATTTAACTCGTCAATAATAATCTTTTTTATTTGACGAGACTTTCGCCTTTGTACCCTAGATGATGATCACTCGACCTCAGACCATCTATGAACTGTGTGCTGGGAGGATATCCAACATTCACGAGGGAAGGCTAGCTTAAAATATGTACAACGCGTATATGATGTTTTGACAATGTCTGCAGCACAGTACATGTATCATTATGTGACGTGTATTGCATATATTAAGTAAATTCAGACCTGGCAGGACAGCAGGAATTTCAGTCTAAAGAAACCTCGCCACATGTTTGGGAGCTGTACAGGGTTGTGTGAAGTCGACATTACTCCCAAACACGGCGATGAAAATAGTCCAGAAAACGCCTTTTGGGACCCAACTTCCTTCCTCGTCGACTTCTGCAGTTTACAGGCGATTTCCGTAACGCCACATTCTTCAAATAGTTCCAGGTTTAACAATAGCGTGGCTATATATAGCTAGCTAGCATTGCTTTGTTCTTATATGAACCTTTAAAACCAGCGATTTTGTTTGCATTTCTCTCATGCACCGTGAGCTGTCCTTATTGCATGTGGCATGACTATTGAATGAACGGTGCGGTGTGCACTGTGTAATGATCAACCTTTCGACACCAAATGCAGTTTGTAAACACACGTGCACGACAATTAACCAAGTTCAAAGTGCAGTCCAGCGATCGAATGTTCATGTTTGCTTTCATGGATTTTAAGCTTAAGTATGTATTTGTGGCTGGTATAACATGTTACAGTGTGAGAGTTTGTTCCAAACAAATGCACAGTCACCCTTTCAAAATGATCTACAGAGGTCTGTCGAAGATGCAATAAAGCGATCTCTTCATATTGCACTGGTCCTTTTATTGTGCTTTGTCAACAGCTACGAGACATCTGTATATAACTGCTGTTGACAGTTCCCTATATGCTAAGACTGGGGCAATACTAAGGTAAAGACAAGAGCATATAAAACGTTGCTAACTTCTACATGGAGCAAGATAGACAGACAGAACTGTAGAAAACGCGTGGTACGAATGACTCATACGATAGTGGGAGTTTGCTGAAATATTCATTGATTGTACTAATGAGACTTTACCACAGTTGACTCATACCGTCTTACATAATCATAACGTTTAAACAAGAATAATTCTACCTTTGAGGCTATAGTTTGTTTCTTATTAGCGTTATCATTACCTGCGGTTTTGACACCAGGAAGTAAGGTTGTAAAATACAACAGATCGCTCACCTATTGCCGACATGAAGGCTTCGTGGTTTTCGCCGCTGCCGTATTTCCACTTGCCGCTGAACATTGCCACTGCCACCGGCATGGTCGCCCGCCCCGCGCCGGTCAGAGTACAGCACCTCCCCGGTAGCCAGAAATAATACTGTACGTGTGTGTATACTCAGTACTACTTGGGAAGCCAACAAGCTACTCTGATCCGAAACCTGAACCCTGGAACTGGAGACAGGTGGTCGTTTTGGTCAGCCAGGCGCAATCCACGGTCGCTGGCCGTCACAAGGTATCCGTGAGCCCAAACAATTCCGGCTCGCGCTGATGTCGTGGTTTCTGGTAAGAGGAATGTTTTAGGAAGTCAAAGCAGGAAGAAAACGTGTGAGAACACAGCCGAATCACCCCGCCCACGTACGTACAGCTGATCTTTGGTCATGTGACTGGACAGGTTCCGTAGGAGGTTAAAGGTAGCGATGATGTCATGTCGTGAGCTGCGGTTTTCAAGTAAACCAATAGGGAGCGCTCGTGCACGACCTATTTTTATGTTTTAACCGAAGGAAAACATTGTTTTTGCTCCATTTCTTCCTCTTCTTCTTCTCCAAACAGTGACCTATGACCTGACCAATGACATAATTTGTTGACGCCTGTCACCATGGTGACTGGTGTTGGGTTACATAATGTTGCAATTTCAATGTTGCAATGTCCCCGCGAAAGTATTAAATAAATTTACAGTTAATAGAAAAATTGGACAAGAGTGATATGTTTCATACTGTGGCCACATAAGGCCACACCGCCTTAATTTTATGGATGACATCCTCTGAAGACCCCCAAACTAGTGGACATTTTTTTCTCTTCAGTTTCATCGACTTTTAAAACAAATAGCAGTCACGCGAGATTCAGACTAGTCAGGTCTTAGAGCCTAAGTTTACAAATAGTCATATGCTGCCGTATGTTACCTAAAAGTTTGTTTTTTTTAACATAGAAGCCAAGAATGACGCTTAGTCCATTAACGTGTTACATATATAATTTTATACTCAGGAATCAGGACTGTTAATAATGTTATATTTCTTCAAGATCCCATGAATTTGCACGAATTTCATGCTTGAAAAACGACATAATGACAGAAATGAATTGCACAACTGATAGTCCGTGAAAGAGCACAGCATCAACGTTCACACGGCTTACACCAATATTACTCCTAAAATGTTCTTCCATCATCAGTGTAAGTTACTACTTTTTTTCCCGTTTCTTTCGAAGCCGCTTACGACTTCCGGTAAACTCTCTTCAATGTGACGTCACGAAAGTTTACTTCCTGTGGACAAAATTGAGACCAACGTGATCAATACAATAATGGCAATTTTCGGTTTGAATTATCATAAAATAAAATCCTTACAGTCTTTGATTAGTTAGGGATTATACAATATTTAGCGGGAGGAAGGCTGATGCAATTTTTTTTCAAGCCCCCCCCCCCCAGGCCAAAAGAAATTTCGATGGCTCTTCCCCTTATAGTGCACCAGAGCTCCCCGGCTAAATATTGTACAGTCCCTTACTAGGTAGTCTTGCCTACTGAAAACCAAACGATCGCCAGCGATTGGTAGGCAAAAAAGTGGGTGACGATTGGATGATTTTTCCTTAAAAATGATTTGCCTATGTCTTCAAAAAAATTGCATGTATATAACAAAAACAGCGATCGCCCGAAAAACATGAAATAAAATAGCATGGCCATGGAATAGAATAGAATAAGATGATTGTACTGACCGCCACGACATTGTGTCCGTCTATCCAGCGGGAGATGGTGAGTCGTGTCCCGGTCCCGTCCCAGTCTTTAAACACGGACACCAGACGATCGTTGTCCCAAAAATACACCACCTGGAAGAAAAAAAAGCTTAAGCTTCACCAAATTCCTATCTGATTAAATAATTAGCGAATAATTTTTATAAGAGTCTGTCAGAAAATATCCTCCGATGCCGACTAGAATATAACTTCTTTAGCAAACCATTTGCACAACTCTCTACATTTAATGAAATTTAAAGGCGTCCAGTGCAATTTAATGGTGGCAAATTGGGTTTTTAAAGTCAGTTTTCTGCTCATTCTTTCAATGTAGTAAGTTGCACCCATAGCATTGTGATCATGGTGATACATGTATGACACAAATGCGATGTCGCCGACGGAAAACGGTTGCTTAAGGCTTAAGCTTGTTTTGTATCGTAGGCTGGTTCTAGCTACTGTACTAGCTATTCAAGGGCGTAGCTTGTTTTGGGGCTATTTCAAACGCCTTAAGTATCAAATGATGCAAATGATGACGAAAATGTGCTAAGAAAAGGCAGTAAATGTCAATATCAGACAGAGTTCCCATCCATAACATTTTTTTTTAGTTTTGCCGCCTGAAATTTCATTGGATATCTTTGATATATATTTTAAAACGTGCATAACAAGTACCCCACCAACCTTTCTTTTCTTCCCATCTCCTGTGTCCTCGTAGAATTCGCTCCCTAACTGGAAGTGGTTGGTGGTCGTCTTGCCATTGGCTGTCGTGGACCACGTGATCCAACCTTCATTGTGTTCCTTGACGTCGACCTTGGGCTCAAAATCTTTGGAACGAGTGCGCATGCTTGGAGGGATACCTGGGGATATGAAGTACTAGTATTACATCATGACGAACTGTTTACAGGTTTAACTATACACTAAAATCCTAACATTTGCAAAACAAATGCATAATGTTTACCTTCGCATATGGTCTGCTCTGTTAATTCTTACTCAAACACATTCATATATATGGCGACAGGAGTCTAAATCCTCCTGCTATAAAATTGCAACATGATGTAACCCAACACTAGTTATCATGGGCACAGACGTCTGCTTCAGGTCATTGACCTTATTTGTTTGGAACGGAAGAAGAATACGCAAATTTTAAAAAATAGAATACCATACTTGGTACTAGCTAGTACTTGGTACGTTAGTAGGTATGTATTTGACATTTGCACGATAACTGCACGTAGCCCTGAAAATGTCCTCTCGTTTAGCAGACAAGGGCAGACTCTAGACTCTCCATTTGAAGAACGGGTACGGATATGCATGTTGCGTCATACTTATCTCCAAGCAGATACGTGGTTTGGCTTCGTCTCTGAATCTTTGACTCGCCTTACATAGGCAGTGCAACTATCGACATTATCTGATCTAATCAGCGCTGAAACCTTTTAAGAGAATTCTAATCTCCAAGCAGATCTTTCGGTGGCCACAAGACAGTATCAAATTGGCCAGACAGTATCCATTAGCCAGAGAGTATCCATTTGCCGAAGAGAGTCTGCTTGGAGATGAAAAGAGAATTTGTCCCTTAGTCTAGAAACAATGACAACACATGGTAATGTAACGAAACTATTGGCGATGGCAATGCCCTCTTACTGACCTCCGAGCCGCTAGTAAAGACAAATGTATTGCAAGGAAAAAAGAAAAATAACCAAACAAAAAAAGACGAAGAAAGCAGCCTTTTGTTGTACAATCTAATTTATATTACATAGCCAACAACTAACTCTACACAAAAATGTTAATCATTAAACTGAAGTACATTTGATTGCCCCCTTATAAACTTCGACAAAAAATCTCACAATGATTGAGATACAAAAGGATTGAGGGTGGGGACAGTTCTAATAGAATCTGTTCTAGACAAGTCCTACCCTTCCTCACACTAGCTCCCAAACAATAACAAGGACAGAAATAACCGGTTCTGACATTATGATACACACCAGGGCATTGAGTAAGTCACGCAAAACTAGGTTACAGAGAGATTTCATTAAAGTCCACAGCGGGCACTCGAAACATATTAAAGCTTCTGAATACTTGGTGAGAAAGAGACCTCCACATAACATTTTCGACAGTATGGACGATATTTGTCGGGAGTCGTACTAACCCAAAGCCGCCATGAAGGCCTCCAGGTTCTGGCTGTGCTGATGCCTCCAGACCCCGCTGAACTGCACAACCGACGCCGCCATCTCCGGCTCCCCAAAACAACAACTGATGAAGAGTTTTGTTTGTAAACCAACAACACAGGAGCACGTAGACAAACCTTCCGTTCAGTGTTTTTATTGTCTGTTTCTGAGGTCACGAGGTTGCAGTGTTTACGTGCGCGAACTTTGGACGACTCCTGGGACTTAAGGGTCACGTGACAAACTACGCCCATATTCGAGAACTCGGCCCTATAAAATCCTGTCATGTCATTGGTCAGGGACAGGCTGAAGTTCATTGATGCTCCTATGATGAGTAACGTTATTTGGCATCGATGTTCTAAATTGCATTCCCAGTGTATGAGGACGTGCTATAAAGCACGGTCTTCCTTGGGGGCCCGCATGCCCTTTTCCGTAGAGCGTAGATGGACCGCCTATAATTCAACGTAGAGCGGAATTGGCGCATTTTGCATAGAGCGTAATTTGCCGTTTTAATTCTAGGTAATGCGTTGTAGCTACCCGGAATTTATCGTAAAACGTAATAGGGAGGCTTCTTGAATTCAGAGTATTGTAATACGTGCCCGGCTCTCGAAATTTAGCGTAGAGCGTTTCGGGACCCCCATGCAGGCCCTCTTCCATAGTACCAGGCACGCTCAAAGTACAGTGTTTAAAGTTCAACTTCAGGTATTGTCAGCAGTGTACGTTGGATTCCATTACTAGTATTCAAGTATGATGTTGCATTCATTCCTTCAGAGATCGCGGGAGGGGGGGGGGTAACCCTGATGGAACACTGCAGTGTATCATCATGCGCTACTTGGATCAAATCCAGAGCGCTTGTTTTTGGCAATAACATCAATGGATGTGCATATGGCAAGAAGTGACAAGGACAAACTTGAAATCGTAAACCGGCAAGCGAGTACAGTTACAAGAAGCGTCGGGGAAATGCAAGTACAAAGTAAGTTTCCACCACTCAAAAGCAATGAAACGGTTTATTGTGTCAATATAAAGACCACTCTAGATCGCTTTTGATATATCAACAACTCGAAATTACATCAAGTATTACACGACTGTGCAGTATTTACATAAAACACGATTATACGTGAATCACCCACTATACGGTTACACGACATTTACAGTATCAAAATCCAATAACATTTTGGCTGTGATATAAACGTTTGTCGAAGATGGTGGGTACGTAGTTTTATCTCTCATATATACCATGTATTACGTATATACATTTGTATGTACAGATAGATACAAGTACATTGCGTGGTTTACTTCATGACATAGCAAGCTTGTTTGTACGATTTAGTAATATTAATACATACATTTAACACAACAGCAATACGCAATTACTCATATGAATTTAGGTATATATAAACATTTGATTGCATTACTATGGATGGTTCTGACTAGCCTACGTTAGTAGGTACAGTACAACGTTAGTCTTTTAATACATATTGTACAACAACCATGTCTCCAAATTCCCCACACTTTTCCAGAGTTCAGTTCATGATCAATCCTTACTTTCGGTAAACTTTTGGCGCACAAGTTCAATTGTTAGCTATCAGTAGACGAGGTCTGAACAGTCACTATGAACCTGACCTTTCACCCTGTTTGACCTTCGAACGGAATGATGACCTTGAACAGGCGTCAGCACCGCACGCTCTGCACGTGACATGTGACGTCACCGGCAGTCATAGTCTGTGAAAGGAAAGATGTGCACGGATTTGAGTGTAAAGAAAAATCAAGTATCAATTTCGAAATACACCTGGAATTGTTACAACTGAACCAGATTAGTTTGTTTATTGTTTATTGTCAGTTTGCACATAAAAAAGTAACAGTATAAAATGAAATTATATACAAGCAAATATATGCTGTCCAAGAAACCTGAAGGTTTGTCTAGTGGACTCTCCCAAATCCTATTAATTTTACGATCTCATATTTACATACATTTATTGCATTTACATTTAACTTGCAATGTATTAAGGGACAAGCAAACAAATTAACTCAAAATAGGTACAAGATAATATAAAGTTAACACGGCGAATTAAATATCTAAACAATGAAGTAAGACAATCAAGAACAAATCATATTGAACAAAAAATAAATTTCCATTAGTCAAATCATAAGTTGTTATGAGTAAGAACAACATAAGAAACCAATATTAACACAAAGAAAATATCATAGCATAAGAAAACAAGGAAAACAAAAGCAAATCAGGAAGTGGTAGTTGGCTTCTCTATCAGGTCAGTTTTTAAATGTCTTTAAATGTAAATATTATGCATTTGCTTTGTAGTTAGTTCATTAATTCGTTAACTTTTAAATAGTTCAA